TTTGAGTTGACTGAGCAGTTCTTCTGGTCTGGTTTTTGCTGGGTTCCCTCAGGAGTCTTAGATCAGTTGGCAGGTCGGTGGCTGGTACTGGATGACCGAGGCTGGCTTCATTTGCATGTCTGGCAATGGGAGTAGCTGGCCAAGGCCCCAGAGAGCTAGGCCATTACTTCTCATTATCCACTAGGCTGGCCCTGGCTTCTTCACAGGGTGATCACAGCGTCCCAAAGCCCAAGCACTTCCAAGTCTCTGCTGGTGCCACATTTGCTACTATTCTGTTGGCCAAAGCGAGTTACATGGCCAAGCCCAGATTCTAGGAGTGGAGAAGTAGACTCTACCACTTGATGGGAGGGGCTCAAGTCACACTGCAAGGGGTGTGTACAGGGATAAGAAGAATTGGTGGCCATATTTGCAATCTACCTCTCACACCATTGGCTGAATGTGAGTCGGCCAATCTCACACTCATCTCATTTAACTCTCTCTGTAACCTTGGGAGGCAGGCATGAGGACTGGCTTTGATTAGCCAGGTCTGACTCTAAAGAAGTCCTATTAGACCCTTTGAGTGCTGGTTTGTGTCTTTTTATTTCTTTGGCAGCTTGAGGGTCCAGATACTCTGTTCTGAGACAGGCACCCTGCTGTCTTAACTCTAAACACTCATCTACACAGATGTGGCTTCACTCGGGAGGAGTGAAGTGGCGGCTACGTTCCGTATTCTCACTGTAAAGCCAAGCTTTTGTGTAGTCAATATATGTTTATAAAGCATCTGCTATGGACAAGGCACTTTCTGCAAGGAAAGGAGGGACCCTCAGTGAAGAGAGGTAACTAAGGAAGTTTGGCCATAAGGTGTAGATGTATGTTGTGTAAAGTGCCCAAAATACACAGTATATCGGAGACCAACAGAGTCTCCTATTAATCTCATGGGAAAGCATCATCTATGTGAAACTGTCCATTACAAGAATTATAAGGTTCCTGCCTTCCCCTCATGGCTGTCAGAATCTCTCACCAGGCCCATCTTTTCTCCCCCTCTTTTAAAGTGTTATCCGCTAGGCTCTGCTAAGACATTTTGACACATGAGGCAGCACCCTTCCCCATCTTTCCAGTTTCCTGTGAGCAGGTTTTATTTCAGTATCAGTGACTTCTCAGAGATTCTTCCTGAAACATCCAGGCCAGCCTCTTTGCCTCTATTTATGCCACTTCCCATTTTGGGACTGTCCAGCACCTCTTCCTGTGTTTCTCCTCCTTTCTTGAAGACCTTAACTCAATTCTTACCTCATCTATGAAGCTTCTGAGCATCCCTGTCTTGGGACACAGATTTGATCTCAACAGACCACTCCCACGGACCAGGCTGGGGCCCTGTTTTATCCACCTCAAGGAGTGAGTCCTATTTTCCAAGAGTGGTAAAGGGAAAGTGGTGGTCATGTTGCCTCCAACTCAGTCCCTCCCTGAGGGCCTGTAACATTAACTAGAAATCAATCAGGTGGGACTTACTTTCTCCTGTGTACTTTTTTTTTTTTTTTGCGGTAAGCGGGCCTCTCACTGTTGTGGCCTCTCCTGTTGCAGAGCATCAGCAGGTGGACTCTCATCCACTGCGCCACCAGGGAAGCCCTCTCCTGTGTACTTTTAATTCATTTAGAAAATCTCTGTATCCTGCTGCCCCAACAATAATGCAAATCTCTTGATTAAAGAGATACAGACTTTAACTTTTATATCGCCAGCACCTGAAACAGACCCCTCTTACATAGGTTGTGTAATTTAATTGCTGATAATAATGATCTGTGTATTTCCTGTGTTTTACATCACGGCCTGCATGGTTTGCTTTCCCACAGAGCGCCACCATTGCAAACTTGCTCTTAACTAGATGAAGTATGTTGTGCTTTTTGAAGTGTGTGGCTGTGGTGGGATTTCTGGCACAGTTCATTCACCTGACTTCTGTTTGCCCTTCCTTCTGTTTTTATTATTTAGTGCCATTGGGAGGCTTTGGTTATTAAACCTCATGTCTCTCAAACGCCCTTTCCTTTCTATCCCTTCTGCGATGATTTCTTCCCGAATTCCTTCTGCTCTTTGATCTTCTTCTGAATGTCCTAGCATAACATCCTCATATCTTCTTCCAAAAGACTGTATATAGTCCCTTCTGGTCATCATTTTAACCATTTTAATCTTAAGTTGTTGTCCTGCCTGGCCCCCAACACACACACACACACACACACACACACACACGCACACACGCACACACACACACACACACACACACACACACACATCTTTAGTACCTCACCAGGGCCAGACGCTCTGTGCCTCACAATTACTTCCTGAGAAACTAATTCATACTTCTGGAGAAAGCAGAGTATTAATGGTTAAGATCAGGGGCTTTGGATCCAGGAAGACTTGTGTTGGAATTTTGGTTTGGATACAAATTTTGTGACTGAGCAACTTGCTTAGCATTTTTGAGCATCATTCTTTTCCTTTGTAAAATGGGGATATCAATTCCTATTTTGGAGAGCAGTTGGAATAATTAACTGAGACATATCCACAGCATTTAGCACAGGCCTGGTTTACAGTAAGCAATGAATAAATAGAAGCAATTATTGATGTCTTATGCTAATAGGAAGACTTTTGACAAAATATTCCCTCCCCTCCCCTCCCTCCCTCTGCCTAATTCTGTCTTCTCTACCTGGTAAAATAACTTTTATAGAGAGAATGCCTTCTATTTTCATGCCCAGAATTCCAAATTAGGGGATTCTTTTCATACAGTTCCAGCATAGGGGGGATTTTGGTGAACTAGCGACAGCAAAGATTGAGCAAGGAGAGGTGTTGACTTTAATTCCTGCTTGGCTGCTAACAAGTCAGGTGAGTTTGGGTAAGTCATTATCCTTGGAGGGCCATCAATTTCTTCTTCTATAAAAGGGAGAGTTGGAATAAGGTGGGCTTTTAAGTTCTTTCTAGTTCTGGCATGCTATGACTCTATATGAAAGGGTTATTCTCTGAGTTCTTTTATTTATGTTTAAGAACATTAGCTGATAACATTTTTTTTTTTTTCTGAGACATCTTGTGTACCTTTATCTTGCCTCACATTTTCCACCTGCAAAAGTGATAGTTGAAGGTAGACAGTGGAGTTGGTCATTCTAGGTTTGGATTTCAGCACCACTGCTTGTCGTTGGGCCTAGTTATTTAAATTCTGTGGGCCTCAGTTACCTCATCTGTTGAATGGGGATAGACAGAGAGTAGATGTGCAGATGAAAAGAGAGAAACATTTAGAAATATATAACTCTAAAGGCTAGAGTTTAATGTCCTGTAGGGCATAAACCAGTTTTATCTCTAACCTAGTGGACTTATTTCAGAATGTCTCTGTTTGTGGATTCTGAATACCCTGTTAACATCTTACTGGTTCCCTCATAAATTAATGTGTTGAATAAAATCTTTCACATGTGTTTCTATTTTTGTATGATAATCATCTTTTTAACTTTTTTTTTTTTTTTTTTTTTGCGGTACACGGGCCTCTCACTGTTGGGGCCTCTCCCGTTGTGGAGCACAGGCTCTGGACACGCAGGCTCAGCGGCTATGGCTCACAGGCCCAGCCACTCCACGGCATGTGGGATCTTCCCGGACCGGGGCACGAACCCGTGTCCCCTGCATCGGCAGGCGGACTCTTAACCACTGCGCCACCAGGGAAGCCCTCTTTTTAACTTTTTGAAATTTACTCTTTAGCAGGTCCTAACTAACTCTGCCTTAAGACACTTTTCTCAATAGAATGACACTGGCAAAGCTTGCTTTGCTGAAAATGCTGATTAAGTTATTGAAAACTACAAAAAACACACTGGGTTTCCATTTTTATACTTTCTGCCCCCTTCGTCCTTATGTCAGTTAGCTAGCTAGGTCCTATGGGGATGAGGGTAGAGAAAAATCCCTTGGAGGAGTTTTTAAGCCACTGGAAAAAAAGAAGCAGGCAGGCAGTAAGATGAGCCTAGCAGAAAGAGATACTTTCATTATGGCCTTTACATTTATGACTAGCAAGATAATGAAGGAAGGTAATTCTGAAAGCTTTCTGTCAGTTTTAATGGGCCGTCAAGCACTGAGAAAGATAACAGTCAATGGATGGTGTCCATAAGAATTTTTTTCTCCTTCTCCCCTGACAGCCACTGACAGGATCATTTTGTATTTGCAACTGCTGTCATTGAAGCATGGATAAAAGGCCCCGTCAGGCCAGGAGGATGAGGGTGACTTCCCCACAAGGATCTCTATTGTCATCACTATGGCAATAATAGTTACTATAATTTTCATTCTGCTTTTCTATACAGTGTCTACTTTGTGGAGCTCAAGGCTATGGGATTTGGGTTACATGAAATCACGCTAGCATAAAATCATGCTTTGAAATCTTGCAAGAGTATTTTAGAAAACTGCAAAGAGAACCTATGCAACAAAATAAAACTAATTACCAATGCAGGTCATTGACTAATACAATTATTAATGCGATGCTAATAGCTTTACAGAGGCTTTCGGATACAGTGTCAGTTTGACAGTCGTTTGTTTGTCTCTGTTTGGATTGTTAGACCACTGCCAGTTTTTCTACCCAAGGACATGGCTTATCATTTAGGTGTAAAAATGTAAGTTAACTGCCAACCAACTCTCAGTCGTTGTCCGGTAGTTTCTCTTTATTATCCGCAATATGGACAGGAACCATGCCTTCTATTTCATTTATGCGCACTGCGCTCTGCATAGAGTAAAATTTCAGTGTTATTAGCTCTCAGACAGACAGCTTTAGAGACACCTAACACTAACTCTGCGTAAAGAGCCTCCGTGAATGAAGTAGGATAGGGTGCTCACCGGTGATCTCAGGGCGGGATGAAAAAGATCTAAGAGGGGCCTCGTGGTTGAGAGAAAACAGTTGAACACAAAAAAGGGGGTGCAGAGAAAAAAGGTGAAAAACGAGCAAGACAAGCAAAAAAAAAGCAAAGCTAGCGATTACACACACACACACACACACGCACGCACGCACGAAAGGAAAGGAAAGGAAAGGAAAGTCGTGCACCAATGGCAGCGCAAGCTGAAAGCGAGGACCCAGGGAGGGGCGGAGACTACAGCCCCCAAAATCCCTTGCGGCGCCTCCTCCCCTGGCGTCAGTCTCCTAGGCAATCCCGGTAAATAACATGGCGACCTCCGGGAGAGATCCCCAGTTGCCGAAGCCTTCCTGTCTCCAGGGAGCCGTGAGCAGTTCACGAACTGGAGCCCAGTCGAAACTGCTGCACTCAGAAAAGGAACGTCAGTCTCTCTGGTCTCCTTTTCCCATGGGGCAGAGACCGAAAAATACTTTTCGCAAAACCTCCTCCTACCTACTCCAGCAGCTCATTCACTGCTCTCAAGAGTCGGACGTGGACAGAGATTACGAAGACCAGGAAGAGGGAGAGGACGAGGGCAAAGTGGAGTTCGAGGAGTCTTCAGAGTCCGAAATGCTGAATTTTGAGGTGTGCCTTCCCCCCACCCCTTACCCCCTCACTTCCTTCTCCAGCGGTCGGACCCCTCACCAGCCTGCGGCTGAGCCCATTCCTAGGGCTCCTTGCCTCCAGGAACGCCTCTTCCTTACTGCTCTGAGACCCCCCCTCTCTCCTTCCCATTTCTGTTACCCGGTTTCCTCACCCTTTGCCTGAAATATCTTCAAGTATATCCTTTATTTTTCGTTAGCACATTTGATTTCTTAAGAGTCAAGTTACACAGCATCGTTGAGGAAAAAGTACCTATTTGTATGGGAGTTATGGCTTGACAGTGTTGTGAATAGACAGACTTCTACTTCTGCACCCCCCGCACCTTTTCCTCATGACTGTGAAATACTCCAACACTCTCCCCGATGAAGGAGTCCCTTCATCCTCCTTCCTCTAGGAAAAAAAAAAATTACCCTTTTGAAATAATCTAAGTGCTTCCTCAAAGACCAAGTGACTTGAAAGTTTTTATATATTACTTCTGCCAGGGGTATATGATGCATTATACAAACAACACACACTGCTCACTGTGAGAGTATTTCAGGATGTGGGGAATGTTCCCAACATTCCCACCTGTAATGCCTTGTTGGCAGCTTGGCCTTTCACACTAATACAGATTCCCTCTTTTCTACAATACCTCTTCTAAACATGACCCAGCTCCACTTACACCTATTAGCATCCTGTTCCTTCCTTAGCCCTTTGCCTGCCTTCTTATCCCTTTCCACTTCACATCATGTCACTTCTTTCTCTTGGCTTTCTTATCCATTATTTGCTTTCTTTTTTTAAAAAATTTTTATTGGAGTATAGTTGATTTACAATGTTGTGTTAGTTTCAGGTGTACAGCAAAGTGAATCAGTTATACATATACCCACTCTTTTGATTTGCTTTCTTTTGATAAACTGTTAGGTTTTCCTCTTTGTCTTGCCTGCCAAGAAACATAACTTTTTTTCTTAATTCAGTATTTTTCTTAATTTCAGTAGTTTTTCTTTAGATTAGGTTTTTCTCTTCCCTTTCCTCCTTCTTCACAGTATAAATTGCTTCAAATTCTTTTCAGAAGTAGATATAATACAGAGAAATAGAAAGTTTCCAACATCCTGTTCTGTGATATTCTTCTGGCATCCCCTCTGCATCATTGCACCTTTTCCTAGTCACCTTTCTTTCCCCCTTGAGGCCAAACAGGTTTCTCTTTGTTATGCCTGTTCTCTTTCACCACCCCCTTTCCTCATTTGTCTTATTTTTTCTTGTTCTCCCCTCTGTAACTTGCAGTGTCTTCTGTTACTCTGATTCTGCCACTGACTACTTACATTGTGTCTCCACTTGGGTTCCCTTCTTTTGTAATGTCCTTTTGTTCACTTTCCACATTTGGCCCATTTTTTTCCACCCTCATCCCCCCATTTTGTCTTCTTCTACCTCCTTCTACATGGCCTAGTTACACATCAGTTTTGCTTAAAGTGGACCACAGAAAATTACTACTTATTTTGTTCATCTTTTGTTGATTTACTTTGCCATGCTTAACAGTGACTACTGGAAAACTGTAGCGATGTTTTTACAACTTTGAGGTGTTTGTATGGCTTCCACCCCAGAGGAATTAACAAATGAATCACCAGGTTATTCTAATTAATGCATGTTCTTCAGCTGTGGGGTTCATTAGTACCATTGTTAATCTGTCTTCAATATGCCATTAACAAACCATAGCGGGAGGGGGTTGACTTGAACTAGTTAATCCTTTTTGGCTTGTAGGCTTTTGTGTGGAAAAAGTTTATTATTTCTTCTATTTATATTCTAAAATTAGTATTTGTTTTGTGTTCTCACATTCTCTTTTACCTTTTTATAGTGTCTCATATGTTTTGATATGCTGAATAAACCAAAAAGTTTTAAGAGGAAACATTTGGGCTTTTATGTTCAGTGATTTATTTTCCATATCCTAGCCCGATTAAGATTTATAATGCTCTGATGGTCAAAATGATTATTAAGTGCCTATAATGTAATTAGCCTCAATGAACTTGAGGGAGTTAGGGCAGACCAGCTGTTCAGAATATTGCCTTTGGAATTCAAAGATCTGTATAAAGCCTTTTGTTTGTTGTGAGATTTTGAGCAAGTTACTCATACTCTCTGTGTCGCATCTGCTCTACAGGAATTATAATACTATCTACCTCATGGAGAGCTGTGAAAATTTAATGAGATCCTATGTGTAAACTACTTAGCACAGTATATTATTTACACTGTTACTAATCCAAGTAATAACTTACCTGTTCTTATCTACTAACTACAGCCCATCAGGTGACTTCATTAATTTAGCCTTCATTGAACAAGCATTCACAAATGATTGCTATATTGGAAGTACTCTGACTCTACAGGGCAGAAGAAATGTCTGGGCCTGTGATATGTTTCTGCTGCATGGAAACCACTCCAGTAACTTTATGTGGATGATAATGCCTGCTCATTGGATAGTTATGAACATCAAATTTAATGGGAAAGTCTATGTTAAAGTTCTTAACATAGTGTCTGATACAGTGCAGGCTCTCAGAAAATTAGAGATGTAATACATAATAGCTACAGTAATGGTAGAAGAAGATGAGAGTATGACGGTCCCAGCTCTCAAGGTGAGATAAGAGTGAGTGTTCATCCTATGAAGAGATGTGTACGGATGATAGCCGGGTTGCAGGCATGGCGGAAGACTGGAAAGGAAGTCAACCCTTACTTGGGTGCAGAGGTGGTGTGTGGGCAGGCAGACGGCAGCTTTTCCAAGTGGTGGGTTATAGGTGAGAGCAGAAAAACAGATGAGGTGGGGGCCAGATTGTGGAGAGCTCTGTGCTGTTGTAGGGACTGTGGACTTGACTCTAAGCAGCAGGGAACTGCTCTTGTGGCCAAGGGAGGTTAGATAAGAAGATGGTGAGCCTGGAGGCAGGGAGATCAGTGCAAAGAGGAGCAATCTCTGGGGAAGAGACAAGAGTCTGGATTAAGGCAATGGGAATGGAAAGGAAGCTAGAGAGAAATACGTATTTAAAATATTTAAGATGAAACACTTACTAATTGAATATTGGAAGTCTAGGGTGACTGCTAGGTCTGTGGCGTGTTGCGGGGGGAATATTAGGGCCACTAACCACCATGGGAAACAGGGACAGGTGGAGCTGTGCATTCAAGAGTTGGGTATGTGAATCGTAGGCCTCTGGAAATCAGGAGAGGAGGGCTCAGGGTCAGAGACCTGGAAATCATCAGCATTGGAGTCTCTGAGATCATTCAGGAAGAGAAGAAAGAAGAGAAGGAGAGGGCCAAGAAAAAAACCCTGGGGGTACAGGTATTTCAGAGGCAGGCAGATGAAGAGGATTCAGGGGAAGAAACTGGAAAAGACTGGTAAGAGAAAAAGGAGAAGGAAGAGAGCTGAACAGGAGGGAAGCCAGGGCAAGAAAGGGTGTTGAGAACATTGGCATGGGTTATGCCTCCAAGAGGTTAAGTGGGAAGAGGCCCAAAAAGGGCTCATTAGGGACCTCCCTGGCCGTCCAGTGGTTAAGACTTCGCCTTCCAATGCAGGGGGTGCGGGTTCCATCCCTGGTCGGGGAGCTAAGACCCACATGCCTCGCGGCCAAAAAACCAAAACAGAAGCAATATTGTAACAAATTCAGTAAAGACTTTTAAAATGGTCCACATCAGAAAAAAAAAAATCTTTAAAAAATAAATTAAACCCAACAAATTATTAAGCCTCAAATAAATATTTCTTTAAAAAAAAAAAGGGTTCATTAGCTTTGCCTATTTGACAGTCACTGTAGACCTTGGCCCATGTGGATTTTGTGACGTGAAGGCAGCAGCCTAAGTGAAGCAAGTTGAGGCGTGAATGGGAGGTGAACAAGGGGTAAACTAGCTTGGCTATTAAGGGAAACTATAGCTATAGCTAAAGGAACATGCAGGACTGAAGAGAGCCCTTGTAGGATGGAAGGGACTCACATGCTCGTAGAGCTGGAGAAGTGACAACTTGGAGAATGACAGTGGAGGGTGACCGGTTGAAACCACAGGCAAAAGAGGGCAGCATTGATGGTCCCTGAACACGGTCTCTGGGGAAACAGAGGGTGCTGGACCCTGCGTGTGGAGAAGGAGCCGACCTCCTCTGAGACCCCAGCAGGAAGCATCAGGCCAGGTGCACGATGTGGAGGGGCTGGTGTCTGGTCATTCCTACCTTGCCTCGGAAGTGGAAGCGAAGGACTGAGAGGGTCCCCTGCAGAGACTGAGGGCAAAGGAGTGGAGGCACCTGACAGCTTGAGGAGGGGGCTGGAGATCTCACCAGCAAGGTGGGGACTTGAAAGGCAGCTGAGGAAGAAGGCGACCGCAATAGCCCCATAGCGCCGAGGCCCAGCTAGAAGCTGACTTGAATGTGGCACCAGAGTGGGCCTTTCCCGCCCACTGAGCCCCTCGGGGGGAGAAGTAGTCTTGTTATTCATTCAGCCCGTGTTTTAGCACCGAACATGTATTAGGTACTGTATCCCTCCTCCCCACCTTACACTTTCGCTATTTGAACTCTATGTAGTTTCCCCAACGGGCTGTACTCGCCGTTGCCTTTGGGATCTTGTACATGTTGCCCCTTATACCTGCAATACCCTCTTGGCCCTCTTCTGCCCTTTCTTCCCCTTTGCCAGAGTAACTCACAACTTTGGGTTTCAGTGGTTCTCTCACCGAGGAAGTCTTTGCTAACCCCCTACTCCCCACTAAAACGGCCATAAAATGGGTGCCCTGCTCCTAGTGAAAGCACCCTGCCTACCTCTATTGTAGTTTATCAAACTCCTGAAGTAGTTTGTGTACTTGGATGACCTGTGCTTCGTACGCTGGGAAGATTTTTATCCCAAATGGATGATGAACATGACATAATCCCTGCCCCAAGGCAGTAGTTGAGCGTGAAGTTGATTCAGGTTTGGGTACGCATGGGGCAGTTGCAGTCAGGGGCCAAGGAGTCAGAGACTTGAGGGTAGAGAGACATTGAAATTGCCCATGGGAGACCCAGTAGAGAAGGAAGTATAGTCAGGAGGGGACAGATAGACTCTGAGGTAAAGGGAAGGCTGAACAGACCGGAGATTTTGTTGTGGTCAGAGACCAAGTTCAGTAGGTGTTGGAAAGGTGGAAGGATGGGCAGCTGTGGGAGCCGAGAACAATGGAAGACTTGAGGTCTGAGGTTTCTAGGGTGGAGCAGTTTAGCATGATGACTAAGTCCAGGGCATGCCCAGGGGAGTGAGTGGCTGAAGTTGGCTAGAGATCGATTTTAAGGTGTCTGGAGTTGAGAAAATAAAGGAACATGTATGTGTGCATGTACTTGAAATGGTCGGGGTGTTGAGTGGCTCTCCTTAGGGATTCTGAAACCACCCAAGATACAGATAGGGCTGGTCAAGGTCTGAAGATGACCAAAGACCAGAAGGGAGAGACATGACACTGACAAATGGCAGGAACCTCGAAGGATGTGTGAGGGGGTGGCCGTGAGGGGTCTTGCCTTGGGGCTTTGGGACAGTGCTGACAGTGTGTCCAGTCTCTGTATCAGTGGCTGTGTTGAGAAACAGATGTCCACCTACTGTAAATAAGGGACTCTGTAGTTTCTCGTTCCCAGGAAATGGAGGGGGTGGGCCACATGGAAAGTTTGGGAGGGAAGGTAACACTCTCACACCTCTACTCCTTCCCAGGCCTGCTATAAAAAATTGCAACTTTGTTTAGAAAGGTAGATCTCTTTCCCCCATTTTGTGAACAGGTTGATTGGTATGGATGAATAAGATGTGGAATTTCTGAATTCACCAATTTGTGCTAACAGCTGCCATTTATTGGGGACACTTGCTGTGTTCTAGGCACCAGGCTAAGAGCTTTATGTTATTTTTCATTCTCTCCAAAACATTAAGAAAAAGTAATAACATATCCTATTTATAGATGAAAAATTATGAGTCTCAGAGAAAACGTTATCTCCCAAAGTCATATATCCAAAATGGCAGATCTGGGGTTCAAACCAGCTGTGCAGTATCTCCGTTTGAGTGATATTTGCTTCTCTGGGTTAGTGGAAATGGGGGAGGAAAGAAAGCTCTTTACAGTAGCACAAGCCTGCATACTTATGTCCTTAGTACTAGAAGCCTGAGCAGCATCATTGGTCCTTGAATGAATATAGAAGACCTGAGAGAGTGTTTTGCCATCACAGTCCCTATACCAGTTACATTGGTTAGTAATATTGGCGTGACTGACGTGGTTACTTGTATTTTGTGTCCTCGTGCTGATGTTAGTGTGTTGGCCATAATGGAGCTGAAGGCAGCACAAACACAGCACTAGTCTATCTATTATCTGTTCTATCTGTCATTATTGGGGGAGGGGTGTGTTGGGCCACCACTGGTCCATGGTGTCTATACACTAAGGGCCAAGCTCCTTCTACAAATGATATTACCCTTTTAATTAATCTTGTAAATTGTATGAATCCAGCAAAATTAGCCAGTACAAAGTGAACTGAGGACCTGTTTTCTCCAGCAAGAATACCAGATGTAGAGAAGTAATTGCCTTAATTTGATGTAACCATCCTTTGGGTTGTGGACAAGCAGTCAAGTGTAGTGGTTAGAACTGCCCTGGAGTCAGACAGATTCGGATTTGTATTCTGGCTCTGTCACATACTAGCTATGTGGTTTCAGGCAAGTTAACTTCTGTGAGCCTTAGTTTCTTCATTTGTAAAATGGAGCTAAGCGTACCTCCCTCAGGATTGTCAGGAGGATTAAATGAGTGGACCCACTGAGAGCTCTTAGCACAGTGCCCAGAACAGAAGCACTAAATCAACGTAGCTGTCATCACTAATATTGATGCTTCTACTGCTACTGTGTTAATTCTGCTTTGAATACCTAATACAAGCAACCACCTGAAAGTTCAGCAGCAATACATTGATTTGATCGGTATTTTCTTAATCATATGTAATATGTATGGGTCTTCAACACAGTTTTTTTTAAAATTACCATTTCCTTTATTTATTTATGGCTGCGTTGGGTCTTCGTTGCTGTGCACAGGCTTTCTCTAGTTGCGGCGAGAGCGGGCTACTCTTGGTTGCAGTGCACGGGCTTCTCATTGCAATGGCTTCTCTTGTTGTGGAGCACGGGCTCTAGGTGCATGGACTTCAGTAGTTGTGGCACGTGGTCTCAGTAGTTGTGGCTCGCAGGCTTTAGAGCACAGGCTCAGTAGTTGTGGCGCATGGGCTTAGTTGCTCTGCGGCATATGGGATCTTCCCGGACCAGGGATCGAACCCTTGTCCCCTGCATTGGCAGGTGGATTCTTAACCACTGTGCCACCAGGGAAGTCCCAACAACACAGTTTTCTTTGGTAAATTTTGGAAGGCTCAGCTCCCAGATATGTAATATAGTAAATAAGTGCTGGATATGATGAGGTGGATTACTTCTTTTCTAATGGAAATCCTTTCTTTGTCCGCCTCTCTGGTTTTTTTGCAGGGAGAATTTGATGGGGTCCTGAGAGAGGAGGTCGTGGCTGAGAAACTCTACAAACTGGGGCGCTCAGGCTCTGGGACTGAGCAGGTCTACCTCAGTCTGACTTTATCAGTGAGTATGAGAAGCTCACCATTGGCTGGCTACATCTTGACACTGGTGGGACCACATCCATTTTCTCTGGTACTCATACCTTTTTTGGTGGCCCCCAAATCTCAGAGTCTTGCATGTGATGGAGAATGGCGATGAGTTATTTATGTTTGACATCAAAGAGCCCTGGCCAGTCCAATAATCAGCCCCCTTGCCCCCCGCCAAGTTCCTTTGTTTTCATTTCCTTCACAGTCTGTTTCTTTCATCTTAAGCAGTCTGTTTTATAGTAATCGATGCTTTCCTTCCAGGAGGTTGAATTTGATTCTGTAAAACCAATCAAAAACTCTTTAAGAATTTTCTTTCTGATCAGTGCCAGGACTACAATTTATGTCTGAATCCAAGGGAACAAAATATTTTTGTACTGACTTTTTTCCCCCTAAGTATGTCAAGAAATCAGTAGCTGTGAGCTGTAGCTCACTTTCTAAAAGGTAGCTATGATGAAAGCGAAAAATGTATTGTTATTCATCAATTTTCAAGATTTCGATACCAGCACAGAATCTTTTTTTGTGTGTGTATGTATTTCTTTATCTATCAATATTATCTATTTTGCTTACATTTATATATGACATGAAGTTGAAAACACTTATTTTTTCCAAATTATTCTGAAATGTTTCTCTTTAACTAAAATATGGTATACTGATATATTCTTTACTGTAGATTTTTTTTTTTTTTGGATCCTTTTTTTAAAATTTATTTTTGGCTGCATTGGGTCTTCGTTGCTGCGCGCGGGCTTTCTAGTTGCGGCGAACGGGGGCTACTCTTCATTACGGTGCACGGGCTTCTCATTGCAGTGGCTCCTCTCGTTGCAGAGCACGGGTTCTAGGCACACGGGCTTCAGTAGTTGTGGCACGCGGGCTCTAGAGCGCAGGCTCAGTAGTTGTGGCGCATGGGCTTAGTTGCTCTGCGGCATGTGGGATCTTCCTGGACCAGGGATCGATCCTGCGTCCCCCGCATTGGCAGATGGATTCTTAACCACTCTGCCACCAGGGAAGCCCCTGTTTGGATCCTTTTTTGATGAAACCGGTGGCAAAAGGATATTTGGGAGTATAGTGGTATTTTATTGCAGTACCTTTTTGTATGTTATTGGCCATTTAGATTTGCTAAATGCCTCTTGTAGTCTATTGCCCATATATTTATTGGATTGTCCATCTTTATTAATTTGTGGATATATATTCTGGATATGTATTCTTTGTCAGATGTACACATTATCTTCTCCCAGTGGCTTGGTTTTTGACTCTCTTAATGATATCTCTTAATGAACAGAATTTCTTAAATTTGAGTGACATCAATATTTTTTCTTTCATGATTAGTGCTTTCTGTGTCCAATTTTAAAAATCTTTGCCTATAGAAGTATCATAAATATATTTCCCTTTAGTTTCTTCTAGAGGCCTTAATGTTTTATCTTCTACACTTCAGTGTATTATCAATTTTGAATTATTATT